CGACAGTTACAGGAATTGGATGACCCGCTCGGATTAGTAACATGATCCGCGGGCCCCATAGGGAGGGGGCTCCCGCTTGAGACTTCCTCGCAATTCACTCACAGACGAGGCCCAAGGCAAGTGAGTGAGTGAGTGAGTGAGTGAGTGAGTGAGTGAGTGAGTGAGTGAGTGAGTGAGTGAGTGTGTGAGGGGTGATGAGTGAGTGAGTGAGTGAGGAATGAGTGATGATGATGATGATGATGGTGGGTTCCTGTTCCTGCGCGGGGTGTCCAGAGAAAACAAGAACCCCACTTTGGATGTGGGGAACTAATGACTTCTGCCCCTCGCTTTTCTCTTCCGATGACCATCCAAGGCCTCAGGATGCCTCCAAAAGACCCCCAGAGGGACCAAAGAGCGCCCAAGAGAGAAGCCCAAGAGAGCCCCAAGGCCGCCCTGAGAGCGCCCCCCCCTGTCACAGACACCCCCGCCCACTCCGACAGACCCCCCCTTCCTCCAGGACAGACCTCACCTCTCCGGGAAATCTCCTTCCTTCTTTCCGACAGAACCCTTTGTCCTGTCCTGCACAGACCCCGCCCTCTCTCCGACACCCCCCACCTCACCTTCCTTCTTTCCGACTGACCTCTCTCCCCTCCGACCCCCCCCCCCCCTTCGACAGACCCCCACTCCCCCAACATGAGCGGCACAAGCAGCAGCAGCAGCATCAGCAACAGCACCAACAACAGAACGAGCAGCCTCTGCAGCATTACTCGCGCACGGTCACAGACGCATCAACATCATCAGCATCATCAGCATCAGCAGCATCATCATCATCATCATCATCATCATCATCATCATCATCATCATCATCATCATCATCATCATCATCATCATCATCATCCTCATCTCATCATCCTCATCCTCATCATCCTCATCCTCATCCTCATCCTCATCCTCATCCTCATCCTCATCCTCATCATCATCATCATCATCATCATCATCATCATCATCATCATCATCATCATCATCATCATCATCATCATCATCACGTGCGACCGCCTCGGCGGCTTCCCCACGGCGGCGAGGCTGGTGCACCTGGTCATGCTGCCGAAGCCGAAGGGCGGCTTTCGCCCCATCGGCCTCCTCAGTTGGCTCCCAAGGTGGCGGGCCATAATCCGACGGCGCGAGAGCCGCGCCTGGGAGGCCCAGCTTCCGCCCGAGGCGAAGGCCAACTTCTGGGGGGGGGCATGGCAAGGCCTCCGAGGAGGCGGTGTGGTGGCAAGCCCTGCACAATGAAGCGGCTGACGGCAGGGGCATCTGCGCTGGCGGCGTACTCCTCGACCTCCGGAAGGCCTACGAGGTGATCTCCCTGGCCGTGGCCCAGAGGAGGGCCGAGGCCGAGGGCTACCCGATGGCGCTGACGGCGGCCGCCCTCAGCATCTACGAGGGCCCGAGGAGGATCGTCACAGATGGCGTCGTCTCCGAGGCACTCCGACCAGCTACGGGCCTGGTGGCGGGCTGCGCCCACGCGGGCAAGCTCCTGAGGTGCTGCATGATGATCATCGGCTCGGAGCACCGTCGCATCTACAAGGAGGTCTCCCTGGCCATCCTGTTCGACGATTGCTCCCTGCGCATGACGGGCTCGGAGGCGGAGGTCGGCGTCCTGCTCGGGCGCGCCGCTGGCGACGTCGCGAAGGCCCTGGAGCGGGACATCGGCGCTGTGGTGCACAGGGACAAGAGCGAGATCCTCGGCACCACCGAGAAGCTGCGCCGCCTCATCGAGCTCAACATGGACGAGGGCACCTTCGCGCGCGCCCAGGGGGACAGGAACATTGGGGTCGACTACGGCATGGGCGGCAAGGCTGCGACGATGGCCTCCTCGCGGAGGGAGGCGGCCGAGACCCAGCTGGGGCGCGTCCTGTCAGTGAGACGCGCATCCAAGGCCGCGGCGACCAAGCTAGTCAATTCAGGCCTCCGACCTGCGACGACCTACGGCATCTCGTGCATGGCATGGACTTCCCAGGCGCTGACGAAGTGGAGGTCCAAGATCGCCGCTATCGCGTTTGGCACGGGCCCTGGACGCAGCATCAGCCTCAGCTACCTTGTCTCCGCCAAGCCGTGGGACGACCCGCTCTACGACCACATCGCCAAGCCCCTCGAGGCGTGGGCCAGGGCGCTGCAGCTGGTCAGGGAGCAGGACAAGAGGGCCCTCGGCTCGGCCTTCGCGGCTGCGCGCGGCCGCCTCACCGCCTCGGGCCCCGAGGACCTGGCGGGCCGCGGGCCAGCGGCCGCCGCGGCCTTCGCCGCCTGGCGGCTCGGCTGGAAGGCCGACCACATCAGGCGCTGGGCGGACGACCTCGGGAGGATCATCGACCTGGGGGAGATCCACAGGCACGCGCTGCGCCGCGAAGTGCAGGCGGCCTTCATCAGGAATCTCTGGAGGGACGTCGCTGGCCGAGACCCCGTGCTCGGCCACCTGGGCGGGGGCGCTGCCGTCAGCGGGCTCAGGCGTCACCTGGGGCGCGCCCACGCCACCTCCGAGCTTACAGCGAAGTGGTCATCAGCAAGGAATGCCAGCGTCGGGTGCCTGTGGCCAGTCCAGCGGCGCGCAGCAGCCGAGCCCCCGCCTGCGAGCTCGGGGCGCTGCCCTGCTGGCTGCGAGGAGCTGGGCACGGTCAGGCACTTGGTGTGGGCATGCCCTGTGCTGGACAGTCTACGCAGGCAGTGGAGGCTGGACGACCAGAACATAAACTGCTTCCTCAACTCTGGCGGCCCGCTGGAGGCAGACGTCGAGCACGCCATCTGGTCGCGATGCCTGGTCAAGGACCCGCGGAGCGACCACCCGCTGCCCCTCCCGACGCGGATGGCCCACACCGCAGGGCCCCGAGCGGGCGAGCCTCTGCGCGGCGAGGGCTTCCTGGACAGGTCGGCCTTCAACGTCCAGGACCGCGTCCTGGCTCGCGCTGGCTGGGCAGCTTGCTCGGCGGACCACATGGGCGAGGAGATCTCCAGCATCTTCGGGCCAGTCCCCTGGCCATTGCCCCGGGAGTCGGGTTCGTGCGAGCTGCTGGCCGCGGTGGAGGCGCTGGCGAACTGCCTCCCGCCGATCCACCTCAGCGGCTCGCAGCTGCTGGTCGGGATCGCCTGCAGCCCTGGGCCGAGATATCCGTCGCTCGCTCAAAGCCACCCGCCGCCTTCCTGAAGCGCCCACCCCGTCCACCGACCCAGACTGACCCCCCACTCATCGGCGATCGTGGCGGCTTCGGCGAGCGCGTGGAAAGACGGGTGGCAGCTCGCGCCCTCTTTGGCACGAGCGTCAGCAGCACGGTTGCCTCTCATCTGCCATTCGGTCGAAGTGCTTTGGAGGACGTCGTGCATGGTGGCATGGCCCTTGACCTTCGTGACACGAATCACATCGGCGCCAACGTCTCGAACCCGAGACCAGAATGCAATCCAGATCTGTCTGTATGGGCGGTTCCAGCACGTGCACAAGTCCTCGCCCGCCTCCCAGCCGTCGACCAGCAGCTGCGAGTCCCTGAGGTGGATCGGCGGGAGGCAGTGCGCCAGCGCCTCCACCGCGGCCAGCAGCTCGCACGAACCCGACTCCCGGGGCAATGGCCAGGGGACTGGCCCGAAGATGCTGGAGATCTCCTCGCCCATGTGGTCCGCCGAGCAAGCTGCCCAGCCAGCGCGAGCCAGGACGCGGTCCTGGACGTCCTGTTGCTCAGTGGACGGGTGCCGCCAGAAGATGCTTGCGACATGCTCTTCTTGCCACGCCAAGCCATGCAGTAGACATGGCTCATCAACTCTACTCCCGACGGGGGGGGGGCGAGCGTCGAGCTGCGCGGACTGTGCGGCGCGTGGCACGCCCCTCCCAGCTTTTTCCCTCCCGCTCCCGCCCCCGCCCCCGCCGCCGACGCTCTCGCGTGGAGAGGGGCAGCAAGGCATGCCCTCCGCTGCGCTGGGCCTCGCCCTCGGCCTCAGCGTGGCAGGCGCCGCCGCGGCGGGGGGGGGCAGGAAGGGTGGGGGGCGAGGAGGAGGAGCAGCAGCGGTTGCCAGCACAGGGCAGCAGCAGCAGCAGCAGTCAGCCTGTCCCTGCCAGTGCTGCCAGTGCAGGGGCTGATCCACCAGGGGGGCAACCAAGCTCGGGGGGACGGGGTCCTGGGGCCCGCTCGGTAAGGAGTTGCCTCCCTGGTGGAACACGCGTTTCCATAGCTCCCACAGGGTGTATTGTGCCAGCAGCCTCGCGTTTTGTGCTGTGTGTGGTTCGTACACCCAGTCGGCGAGGGTTAAAGGGTTTGTCGAACCCTGTCCTGGAAGGCCCGCCTCCGAACGGCTTCGGGACGGGCTCCGCAGAATGAAGCGTGGCCTTCACCCCATATAGTGGGGCAGCGGCCGACCTCGGCGCCCCTGTGGCCCTCCCTCGGCGTGATCGGTCGAGGTCGAGTGGGCGAGTGGGGGCAGCTAGGAGGTAAATGTAGCAGAGCGGGGGGCCTCAGCGACTCGTCGGTGTCCCCCCAGGGCGAGCGGGATCATCATCATCATCATCATCATCATCATCATCATCATCATCATCATCATCATCATCATCATCATCATCATCATCATCATCGTCGTCGTCATCATCATCATCATCACCATCATCACCATCATCATCATCATCATCATCATCATCATCATCAGCAGCATCAGCATCAGCATCAGCATCATCATCATGATCATCATAATCATCATCATCATCATCATCATCATCATCATCATCATCATCATCACCATCATCATTATCGTCATCCCCGGAGTGCCCCGGATCGGCGGCACTGGCCGGAGGCCACTACAAAATAAGGAAGATGAAGAGGAGGAGGGGGAGTGCCCCAGGCGGCCCTACAGAAGGAGGAGTTCAGTGCAGTTCATTTCAGCTAGCCCGCAGAGGTCTGGACGGATGCAAATTTCGCATGCTCTCGTGCCTCTGGGCGTCGCCCTGCGACAACCATGGGGGATCCACGATCTTCGGGGACGGCCCGATCCTTCAGGCGGCCCTCGAAGTGGCGGGGCACCGCCAGGAAGAAGTGCCGGCACGACGGGCTGCACTTCACCTCGCGTGCCACGGCCCACAGGATGGCCGACACCTCCTGGGGCTTGTACGCCCCGAGGTGCCCCTCCGTGATCTCGAGGAGCGCAGGGAAGAGGTGCCAGCGGCAGGGCACCTCCAGCTTCGCGTACGCCCACAGCATGTTGGCGATGTTCTGCGGCGGTAGTTCTGTCCTGCGCCGCACGGCGACCTCCATGATGCTCTCGAACAGGGGCGGGTGCGTCAGGCCCACCGTGGCGAACGCCCAGACGATGTTCGACAGCTCCTGGGGCTTGAAGCTCCACAGCACGGACTCCTGGGCGGTCGCCTCCGCAAGCAGGCGGAAGAGGCGCGGCTCCTGGTGCCGCACGCGCGCGAACGCCCAGGCGGTGTTCGCGATGCCCTGGGGGCCCATGTTCCACGTGTGCTGCGACAGCTCGCGCGCGACGCTGGAGAACAGGGCCGCCTGGTGCACCTTCGCGGTGCCGAAGGCCCAGACGATCGTCGAGAGGACCTGCGGGCTGATCTGGCCCGGCCGGCGGCGCAGCAGGTGGGGGGCCAACCCCTCGAAGATGCCGGAGTGGCAGAACGAGAGCTTGGCGAAGGCCCAGAGCATGTTGGACAGCTCGAACGGCTTCATCCCCGAGAGCCTCTCGCTGGAGATGGACGCCACGTACTGGAAGAAGCCCGCCTCTCGAATCCGCATGGTGGCGCAGGACCTACGCCGCGAAAAAAAATATACACAGACACCCTCCGACGAGCTTTGCCTGCACCTTCATGGAGGGTGGCGGCGTATATAGTCGATGGCTCTCAGTGGTGATTTACACACCGCCACCCTCCCTCCCCTACAGCCCAAACACAATAGATTGGAGGGTGTCCGTGTGCATAAATATATATATATATTTTCCTGTGGCGGAAGACCAGCAGATGATGCTCAGGCATCTCATCTCGGACGCCAACTCGCCGCCGCGCGCGCCCCCGCCGCGGGCCCCCGCCCTCTCGGACACGTGCCCCGCCAGCAGCCCGCGCAGGCGCCAAATGGCCTCGTGCTCCACGAGGCCCTCGCGCTCCTTCACGCTGCTGCCGATGGCCAGCTTGGCGAGGCGGTGCAAGGCGGTGGAGCAGTTGATCAGGTTCATCCCGTCCACGTGCTCCTGGAAGGGCCTCAAAGCGGCATGGGCACAAGCTGTCCGAGCCCCAAAGCGGGCATCCCGGTTCGGCGCTGGCCCCCCCCTCCCTCCCTGGCGCGCGGGGCGCGCTAGGGGCGGCGCCGGAGGCGCCGCCAGGGGGCCCAGCGCTGATTCAAGAAATTCACATGGAGTTTCGAAAGTTCATGTTTATGTCATTTGTGTTTCTTCGATCTCCTCATGTGAGAAAACTGGTCAGAGGGGGGATGAGGGCAAACCCACTTAATTAAAATCTGTCCCTGGACCCCTCTCACGGCGGAACCTGACAATTTGTTCGAGCCGCGTCAAGCCGTGGCGACGAAGGGGCCCTTTCTCCCTCCTGTTTTTTGGCCAGAGCCAAAGCTGGGCCAGCCCCCCAGCCGGCACCAATCCTGTATGACGTCGAAAAGCCATCCGACGTCGCCAGACTCGGCTGCGTTGGTGATTTGACGGTTGATCCACTTGTAGTGCCGCTCCATGATGTTGCGAGCCGTGCCCGTGCCCCAGGCGGGGCCCTGCTGAAGGTGGAGCACGGTCGAGCCGCAGCGACTGCGTTCGCCCCTGGGACTCAGCCCGCGCGCGCAGGCTCGGTGTACGATTCCCTCTGCGCCCCCCTACCATCCGTCGGGAGCCGGGCAAGGGCTGCTAAATCCGTGGCTGCTAAAATCGACCTCCGGGAAGTTGTCTTCGTCCTTCTGGGAAGAAGCCCGTTGATTGTTCCGCGTGCCGCGCCTCATTCCGGGAAGTTGTTTTTTCCTTCCGGGAGGGCCGTTTTAGCAGCCACGGTTTTAGCAGCCTTCGCCCAGCTTTCGAATCCGGGCCGTGGGCCTGCCACTCCGGCGACAGCCCCGTGCTGAAATGGAGCTGCACTGCCCTCTTGCTGCTGAGGGAGCGCGATACGGGACCAGCAGGCTCAGGGCAGCGTCCAGCGAGAGCCCCGGCTTGAGAAGGACGGGAGAGAGACGCCCTCGGCGCCTTGGTACAACTGCTACACGAGCTTCGCTTCTGGCGATGCCATGGGGAAGTGTAAAGCGAGAGCCCTGGTTTGAAAAGAAAGCGCCATTCGTCTGTGTATTTGCTGCACGTGTGTGCACACATGTTCATGGCAGTGGCGGAAGCTTCAAGCGAGAGCCCCGTGTCAAAGAGGACCAGCCATCCGTCCTTGTAGTTGCGCGTCGCTGGAGCAGGAGCAACCAACACCAAATAAACCAGGCAAATAAGCAATGCATCCTCGTCGAGACAGTGGAAGCGTTGAAGACGAATGTGGTCTGTGGTCAGCGACTAGGCGGGAGTCACATTTAGGAAGATTTGGGACCCCAGCCGGCGAGGGGCGAAACACCTGACGTACCCATCCGACACGTCTTCTTGTGCGACGATGAGGAGGATAACCTCGTAAGAATGGACGGATGGGGGAGGGGGAGGAGCGGTTAGAGCGATTGCGCAGCACAACGTGCGAGGGGAAGAGGGGGGAGGGGAAGAGGACGATGAGGCGGAGAAGGATGAGGAGATATCCGGATGAGGAGGGAAGAGGGATGACAAAGAACATATAGGTATGTATAGGTGCGTACAAATGATCATACATAGACACAAACACGCAACTTAGTACGATATATGTAAGCTAGACCAACCCCCCATCAAGGACCTGCCTCAACCTTCCCTCCCTATACCTTATATATGACTATACTTCACCGCCTATTGTTTCGCATCCTCCTATCTCTTTCCCCCGGTGATCATCCCACCCTCCCTACTCGTCAATGTCCTCAGCGTCATTCTCCACGCTGTGTTTCCCCGTTGTTGCATCATCCGCCTCTTGTTCCCCGATCCGCCCTGGGCATTGGATGAGGAGGGGAAGGAGGAGGATGAGGAGGGGGAGCTGGAAAGAAAAGGAGGAGGAGGAGGAGGAGGAGGAGGAGGAGGAGAACCCCCGCGTCCCCAGCGCCAGAGTGGGACCCCCGCGCCGTGGCTCTCTGCCCCGAGCCCCCCCGCGCCTCCAGCGCCCCGGCGGGAGCCCCGCCCACTGCCCCCACCGCCACGAACGCTGTACTCTGCGTCGCACACTTCTCTCCCCCCCCTCCGCGCCCACAGCGCCAGAGTGGGACCCCCGCGCCGTGGCTCTCTGCCCCAAACCCCCCCGCGCCCCCAGCGCACCAGCGGGAGCCCCACCCACTTCCCAGTCCGCCACGGACGCTTGATTCCGCGCCGCGACGCACACCACCTCCCCCCCTCCTCTCCGCGCCCCCTGCGCCCCAGTGGGACCTCCGCCCCGTGCCCCCTCCGCCCCGAGCACTTTATTCCGCGTCGCGACGCGCGCCGCCCCCCCCCCACACCTGGGATTTGGGCCTCGTTGTTGGGCCCCGAGGGGCCATGCATTGCCCCCTCTCCCCCCCTCCTCCTCCACCTCCCCCCCCTTCCTTGTTGCGCAAGAATCATGGCACGCGCGCCACTTGATTTAACCGAAAAAATCATCGTACGATACGCCGTACCTTACGGACTGGAATCTTCATGAATCGCCGCAATCGGCGCTTGTGTTTTTGGTTCCCTACAAATAACCATTGCGCTTGTTGATATTCCGTGAGGTATGTCGCATATCCGAGTAGTCAAGGGTTGTGGTTTCATCGTCCGAAGACGCATCGACATCAGCGCCAGAGTCGTAGTCGGACTCGGCGGGTTGCCCTGCTGAGCCCATTAGGGCCATGGCTTGCATGGGGGATACCGCGTCAGGCGGCCCCCGAAGCCTGGCCCAGGAGTCTTGCGACCCCGAGGCCGCTCCACCATTCTGAGCCAACAGTGTAGTGGTCTCAGTTGGCTGTGGATCATCATTCCAAACGTTGTTAGCAGGCTGCCCTGCGCTACCCTCCACGTGAAAGGTCTCGGTTCGGTGACCGTGACTGAAAATACCACCACTATTGCCAGGGGTTCTCTCAGCAATGTGAGCACATGACCTCACATGTTCGAGAAGAGCGTGAAAAAGGTTGGTCTCTCGGCATGCGGTGGTTCAGAGGCTACAGGAGTTGTTGTGCGCGCGATGTTCCCACTCCAAGAGCTCTAAAGAAAATCGCTGCTAAGATCTGGAAGTTGGGAATACGGAAGCCAGCCGCTTCAGTTTCATAGCGGGCTATTTCAGAACGTGCTAACGCCTGGTCGATGCGTTCTCCCGCATGGACTCGGAAGTCAATGAGAGCGGTACCAGAGTTGAGTTGGCGCTCCTCTTCTAAATTATCGAATTTCGTGCTTAAGAAGAACATGATGTAGGTGGCGCCGTCGGCATGGCGACCACCTACGTTAACGCCCAAGTCGATAACTGCTGGAGGAACTCATGGCTATGGCCCGCGCGAGAGCTCCCAAGCCTCGCGGCAGAGCTGCAGCCTGCTGGGAGGGCGTCATAGTGCCTGTGGTCACGTTGATCCAGGCATGTACTTCGCGGACGAATTCGCGACAAAGTACTTGAGTGGTTGGGCCCCAGTGAGGGCCGGTCGCCCTTGCGTCGTCTCCGCCACGCGCGCGTCCTACCGCGCGCCCGATAGCGACCCATGTGAGGCCAAAGATAAGGATGCCAATCCAATGACCTCGCAGGTCGTGGTCGGATGTAGTCGGTTGGGACTTCCGTTGTGCAGACGTAAGTCTGCGTGGGGTGGAGGCGGCAATATGTCGCATCGTATTCTTCCGTGCGTTGTATCTTCAGAGAAGTTTCCAATTGGAGTAGGCGGGTGGGCTCCAGGAGTGAAGAAGCGCTGGGATGTAGGACGTAAGTAAGAGACCTCCGCGTGAGCAGAGGTATCGCTGCAAGCGCCCTTGCGATAATGCGTAGCTATATACATTCCTCCGCGCAAGCCCACTGCACCCTGATGTTCCACCATGTCCGTAGCCCACCAGATAGTGCCGTGGATGGCGAGGAGTAGAGCAAGAGCTGACCACCATAGGCCCGCTCCGCTACCAAGCTTGAAGGGGGCTGGGAGGCCCAGCCAGCAGCTTCGCCTTAGGCGAAGCCAAGCTCCAGCTCTGATGTACCGCAGTAACGATTGTCCCAATAGGAGAGGATGTGCTATCTTAAGCACTAGGAAGATCCTTTTGGTCTCGATAGTAATTGCGTGCCTCGCGACGAGGCACGGTCATATTTGGGCGGCCGGCCGCTTGAGCCGACGCGGCCGCGGGCACACGCTCGCTTCCGCTCCTTGCGTCCCTCAGCTCGCTTTAGAGTCGCGCAAGCTTCCAATTCCGACGCCCTGCATTCGGCATGTCCAACGCCGCCGCCTGCCCTGGACACACGACGATGGCGCCGTCTATGCTGGGCGAAAAGCGCGGAAATCCCCGTCGCGGAAAATCCGCCTGACACAACTTCGGGTTGTCTTTCCGGCGGCGCGCCGGCAAAGGTGCTCGTTCCCGGTCTCGTCGCGTTTTCAAATGCACGTGTTTCCGCCTCAGTTTGAAGGGGGCTGGAAGGCCCAGCCAACAGCTTCGCCTCAGGCGAAGCCAAGCTCCCGCTCTGCTGTACCGTAGTAACGATGGTACCAGTACGAGAGGAGATGCCATCTCAAACAATAGGGAGATCCTTTTGGTCTCGATGGCAATTGTGTGCCTCGCAATGAGGCGCAGTTATATATGGGCGGCTGGCCGCTTGAGCAGACGCGGCCGCGGGCGCGCGCTCGCTTCCACCCCCCACGCCCCTTAGCTCGCTTTAGAGTCGGGGGGGGAGGGAGACGAAGCGCGAGCCCGTCGCCCCTATGAAGCAGGCATAGCAGCCAACATTAACACGGACAGACAAGGAAGCGGGCCTGAAGGAAGGTGGGCCCGCTAGCAAGTTGCCTCGCATGTACGTGGCGCACTCATCAGGCGGCGTCAGAACTTGATGTCTGGCCGGCCCGACATGGAGTATGTCTCTTCAGGTCATGCATGAAGGTCTGTATGCCTCCCATGCCTTGTAAGAGCATTTCTCTGTCAATGCTCCCCTTGGTGTGGCCATCCGCAGTCATATCGCGGGTGACACACCACTGAATGCTATGCACCATTCCACGCTCCATCGTCTGACGTATCCAACTGATGTGTCCTAAAAGGGCACACTCTGTCGGTTTCTTCAAGTCTTTGCTTGACAAGGACGTACAATCAGACTCAGCATCGATGGTCAAAGTGACGTCGATGCTCAGGTCACCCAACTCCAGAATATCTTTGAACTGAGTGGGCGCGAGCGGCCCTGCGTGGAGCTCATGCAGAGTCACAACCGTGGGGTAACAGTCCAAATTATGGGCTGCTGCTAGTGTCTCTGCTGAATTAATACCTCGAGCGGACCTGCAAGCGGCGAGACTTGCAGTGCGCATCGATCAAGTGAACGACAGGCTTACCGGATGACGTGTTTCCACGTCGTAGCAGCTTTGCCCCGCGAATACCATAGCCTTTGAAGTCGTCATCGACGTGTCCACTCAGCATCGATATCCTGAATCGCTGTGTAAGTCGACCTCGCCCGTGAGATTCAACGCCTGGTAGA